AAAAATAATGAAAATMAAATCTGTAATAAATTACTGAAGGAGTTCCATAATTTTGTTTCAAGTATACAAATTTGAAGGTAAACCTGGTATTAAACTCCAACTGGCTGAGTGCATTTTGTGAGACTTTCAACCTTTTTGAACTTTCCTCTTGACATGTTTGAAGATGAGTCAACAATTTCTCTGGGAGCCTAGAGATATATTTCTTAAGTTTGTCTGGTTTGAGGTGCCCAAAAATCTGAATTTATTTATTYATTCATTCATTCATTCATCCATMCAAGACATTGCCTTTTGCTTTCTTCCTGGAAAGTAAATGAAGGAACTAAAGATAAYGATCAATGCCACCTTGGCCAGAGGTTATTGATGGACTTGTTCCCAGGCCTTTAATTTAAATTTCATTTTTCTCAAAAGATTCACCTGCAGAAAGTTAGATATTTCTGGGTGTGTCTATCTGYCCTTTGAAATTTAAACTAAAATGCAACCTTTTTTAAAATTTTGAGTCAAAGTTCAATTGGTCTCTTATGCAATCAATTTTAGGCTCAATTCCTTTTACTTCTAGCATAACCCAAATGCATATGTACAACTGAGAATGACCAGGATTAAATAGCCATACCATTTCAATAAGAGATAGCCAAGGAAGAAAAAAAAAATCAGTCTTCACATTTAAGTCAGTTAGTCCTTTTTTAATAAATTTGAATTCATTCATCAACAAGTTTCATATTGTATCTATCACTCAATTTTGCTGTTTTTTTCATGTCAAATAATACCAAAAATTACATCAATGTGCTTAAGCAAAACCGGGTTTAAATTTATCTTTACAATGAAATGAAATCAACATGGGAATTGATCATGACAGCAATCATCTATTCCTACTAGAATAATTCTGTACTTACCTTGAACACACTCACTGACTTGTGAAGTAGAAAAATGAGACAAGAATGACAAAACATGTTCATGGGGCTGTCCCCAGGGAGAGGCGTGGTACCTGAGCCACTCTCTGGGAGGCCACTGTTTACCCAGGTGTTGGGAATTTAGTAATTCAGGAAAGCATGGCACCTTTCAATGCAGTAGAAGAGGTAATCAATCCAAGGCACACTAGCTAGTGTCCTGGGAAAATTTATTCCACCTGGGCAACTCCTTGCCCCAAATTCAATGTTACTCTCATGGAGGTCTCACACTACGATGAGAGCCAACTTAGATTCAAGAGTAACAAAGATTTCACCATTTTTTTTTTAATTTGGCTTTCATAAAATGGCCAGAAATAGGAACTGGTTTCAGGTGGAGAGTTAAATTAAGAATGATGGAATGGTTTACACTTTCAAGCCAGGAGACTTAAAGTTGGAAACATCTCTTTTTAGAACATACCCTTATGGGACAAACACCAATGGTTTACCTACTCGATGCTGAACATGAACACCTACCACTGCCATGTGCCTGTCCCCTTAAAATCTGTCCCCAACTTGTTTGGCATCCCCTCTGAGATGAGCTCCTTGGTGGAAATGTCAGTTCCATGTTTGGACAGGAGAGAAGTGCCTTGGATGGGAGTGACAGAAGATGTCAAAGTTCCAGTGCTGGCATTGGAAACACACGATACTGCAGATGGACATGTCACTTTAAAACCTGATGGGAATAWTATCATGACATACTTTCTAGTTCATTTGAGATTCAAGGGGGAAATGAGTGTGTCATGGTATAGACAGTGAAACCCCTCGACAGTCCTGGGGTCGGTGAAGAGGAATGACACTTGTTCTGAAGATGACTCAAGTCTGATCAGTCTTTCTCTGGAGGGGTTTATGTAGGAGGGCTCYTGAATTGTCTCTAGAACGTTTGAATATGGGAAATAGCAAACTGTCATCATAAGATTCCTCTGTACATTTTGAGCCCCCTGTGAAGCATTTTGGAGACAGGACTACTGAGAAAATTAACAGTTTATTCCTTTCAGTTGTTGAGAAAGAAATTTCATTTGTTTCCAAATTAAACTTTTCTCTCCTTACTCAAGAGGTCTGGGTGTGGGCAACAGCCACCTCACTTTAATGTCAGAGATCCGGGTTCAGAACTCCTTAACACTGTCACTCGCTGGCTCCAATACCTACTGTGGAGTAATGAGAGGTCATTTTTAACAGAACCAAGAATCAGATTCAACTCTTTTGTGTTAACACAGCCAGAATTCTCTTCTCAATATTTCTCACAACTTTTAAAAATGGAGAAGCTATAAAATAATTTCATTAGAAGAAAAGTAATTTCCTTCTGAAATGGATAAAGCAAACACATACCCAAGGATCTTAAAAAGTTGTGTTTTGTTGTTGTTGTTGTTTTTTTACAGAATATATGTATGTATGTGTGTGTATGTGTGTGTAGTTACAAACACTATTTATAGTATAGCTATTATRTTAACTTCATCGCAGTGTCTACAAAGTTGTGGATCCCAGTCTTGGTGCCAAATGCATATAAAAAGCTCAAAAGCTATTATGACTATACCATGCAAATTTAAATCCAGAAAACCTTGGGAAGTAGACTGCTGCTCTTTTGAGCCCCATGGGGTCTCTGCCTTTGATATTTGGGTACCTCAACTGTGCATCAAAAAAATGTTTGAATATCTTTTCTCCCAGAAAGAATTAATGTCACAGTTCTGAATAGTATAAATTATACACTTAAAATCAATCATCAACTGCTTTTGTCCAGGTTCGTTTGCATTTTGGGGTCCCTCTTCCTCATGTGTCGCTCACATCTTTAATTACTGGATACACAAAAAAGATACCTGAAGTATTGAAGGGGATAAGGTCTTTTCAAATGTTTTGTTTTGTGTGTTTTTTTCTTTTACATGTTAACAATGATAAGGCCACTTACAAGGTTTACCCCAATCTGTTGAACTTTTAGGATTCCCCCATTGTTACCCATGGAAAAAAAAAAAGGCCAGAGAGAAGCCAAAGACCAAGATATCACTGGCTCATCTCCCGACAAAAATAAAACCAGACAGCAGCAGTTGGGAGAAGATGCTGAAGAAAGGAATGAAGGAGGGAAACGGGTATAAAAATTGGTAATTGACTCTAGCATGAGATTTTGTGGATCATGTTTTTCTCTGATGGTGGGTTGTGAACTGTCACGGACTCCCACAAATTAAAGGTTGCTATGGCCACCAAAGAAAAATCAAGTCGTGGTCCGCTCATGGTGACAATCCACACCACACCCATCCTCAGGGAGGGCAGTGCCTCTACCTATTTGGAAAAAGCTGACACCAGTCATTTGAGCTCTGGACCAGACTCTGGTCATTCATTTTGGACAGAACAGAGAGGGTGAGGTGTATGTGGCATTTGGGGATAAAGTATTAATTTAGCAGTTCTTTCCTGCATGTTTTGCTTTTTTGTTTTGTCTTCCAAATGCTGAACTTCACTGTGACACCTGTTTGCACAACTGTAGTCATTTCAGTTTATGGATGCCTGTGATAGAAATATTGTTTACAAAAAATATATCATCTTTTTTTCTTTAGAAAGATCTCATCTAAATAGTAAGTTAAGGTTGCTTCTATGAAACCGGTGCACCTTGTCTTGTTTCTACGAGCTTTAAAAAGTCCAAATACTGATGAGGCTGTGGATTAGAAGGAACCAAAAGTGACTGTGTTAATTGTCAGGTTGCCCTCTTTTGCCTCAGAGAACGGTCATGGGTCATTGGGTGATGTGTGGTGTGTACTGGTAGTGTTCCTGCAGAATCCTAGTCAGCCTAGGAGTAGTTGGATGTGCTTATGAGACATGTCAGATACAGAAATAAAGGCATGAGGATGTTTCTTAGTTTCTGAAAGCGAACAGTAGAGGTGTTTTAGCTTCAATCTTAATTTCTAGATAACAGAAAGTAGTTACATCACATAATGGAAAATATGACATTGCATGCTGCCATGATAGCAAGCATAAGAAACAAAACCTTGGTAAATATACATATGTATGCATATTATGCAAATATATTTTATAGTAACATACAATGTTATAAGAATGAATGATAACATAACTGCAAGGGGGAAAATCAGCCTAGATGGTTTTACCTTAGAGTAACAAAGAACCTGAGACGTCTATGCTTTCTGTTGGATATCAGGCCTAGAAATCCGTAGGAGATGTAGAGCACATTTTTGGTGATTGAATGTCATTGCCAAAACGTGCCACCGTGTTCCCACACAACAGTTAAGCTGGATCCACTCTGAGTGAACAACAACAACAATGAAAAACCCACACATGCTGGATATCAGAGTACTTACAATGAGATGCACTCACTCCCAATGGGTTTCAGAAGATGGATGTTCAGATGTCAACATGGGACCTATCTACGTTTAAGACAACAGGTAAGCGCATGGCCAGCGACTCACCTCATCCACTAAAGCATGACCGAGAAAGTACACCCACTGAAAACAAACCCCATCACCCGAAAAGCCAGCAGGCTTCACTCAGTAAACTGAGAGAGAGGATGTGAAGTGTGTGACTCATTTTAAACTAGAGATACCACTGTATGAGTTTCTGAAGATTAACTAAGGATTTCTTTCTGACTTTTAAACTAAAACATCTAACTTATGATAATAAAAGACACATTTTGGGATGATATTGTGTTTCACACCCTCATTCTCAAGGCAAAATATTTAGATGATACTTGTCCCTTTCATTAAAAAAGAAAAAAAACTATGACTTTCTTTAATATGCATCCTGTGTTAAATTGTCCATAGCTGCAAAATGTATATATGTATGTGTATTTGTTTGACATACACATGGGTGCTCACACCTGTGTGTATAAACACATACACATACATCCTCATATACACGTGTATTTTATATATATGCTGAGAAAGTTCACATATATATACAATTGCGTATGTATATATGTGTGTGTGTATGTGTGTGTGTGTGTGTTTGTGTGTGTGTCTGCATGTGTGTGTGTCTGTGTGTGTCCAGGTATAAAAACTTGACAGGCAGGGTAATATTTCACTCAGTGTTAAATGAAGTCTTTGAAAAATCAAGTACAGTCACTCAGTTAACATAGTACAGCCAGTAAACTAAGTTGAAAAGAGAAAAAGTGAATGGAAACACGATCCTGGACCATCTGTCTATGGCATTCACATCGGTTAGATCAGGGATCTTAATTTTGAGCTGCGAAGACCTCCTCCGTAGGTGGGTCTTCTTGTGCGGGATGCTTCTGTCTCCCATGTACCGCCCATGCCCTTCCCGGGGCATGCTCTGTTTCCTGAACTGGACTCCTGAGTTGTCAAAGGTCATTGGTGAATTCCTGGTATCACCGCCCGTAACCTCGTTCATTTCATTATGAACCTCCAGTGTTGTTAACAGAATGTTTCCATGAGCATCCACCTAATTGGAAAAAAAAATACACATGGTGAGGCAGCTGACATGTCCACAAAAAAGAACTTTTATATGCAAACCTAGGACAGAATGATGTCWCCTAATCATGTCTTATATCCGAGAGAAATTGTATATCTGTCAAACTCAGGAAAATGTCATTTTGGACATTTACATGCAGTTTATATACTCTATTTCCTTGACTTAAAAAATTCTCATAGCTAGGCCCAGAGTGCATACCTGCAACCGCAGTGGCTCTGGAGGCTGAGGTTGGAGCAACACAAGTTCAAAATCAGCTTCAAGTATCTACTGAGGCCCTAGGCAACTTAGGGAGACCCTGTCTCAAAATAAAACATAAAAAGGGCTGCAGATGTTGCTCAGTGGCTAAGCACCCCTGGTTCAAACCCTGGTAATAATAAAAAAAAAAAAAAAACAAGCAAGTGAGAGAGAGGGAGGGACAGAGAGAGGGAAGGAGGAAAGGAAGAGGGGAGAGAAAGAAGAGAAGAAAAGGAAGGAAGGAAGGAAGGAAGGATGGAAGGAAGGAAGAAAAGATGAGATGTGGATGTTGATCTACAATGGGGATTGGGTGGGGGGAACATGGGTAGAATGGAGAAACTTTATAGATAGAACAAAGGGGAGAGAGGGGAAGGGAGGGGTCATGGGGGTAGGAAAGACGGTRGTATGAGATGGACATCATTACCCTAAGTATGTGTATGATGACACAGATGGTGTCACTCTACTTTGTATACAACCAGAGATACGAAAAATTRTGCTGTATATGTGTACTATGAATTGAAATTCATCCTGCTGTCATGTTTAACAAATTAGAATAAATAAATAAATTTAAAATTAAAAAAGAAAGAAGGAAAGAAAAATGCACACAAAGATTAGAGATTAGAGAAAGTAAGGGGAGAGGATGTTTTCAAATTGCAATTTCACATTATAGATATAAGTCCTACTGAAGAAGAAATTAAAGCACAAATGCTTTTCAAGATTAATACCTAACTTAGGTGTTATAACTATTCATACATAAGTATACACTGGGTAAAAACTAAAATGCCCCATAGCACCCCCCCTCCAACTCAAATTCAACAAGCATCCTTSTGACTCAATAGTCCTTCTGAAGCTGTGGTCAAAAGATCAACAGTAGCCTAACATTACATCACGATGTCATCAACTTTACTTCACCTCATCATGCAGGCACCGTGTCATCTAACATCATCACTACAAGATGAAGGGTACATACAGTACAATAAGATATATCAATAAAACATTCACCTTACTTTGAATATATCATTTTATTGTTGTTGTTCGTGTTAATCTCTTACTGTGCCTGATTAATATATTAAGTTTCATTATAGTTGTGTATGTGTTGGAAACATATAGTGTATACAGGTTTCTGTGCTATCTGTGCTTTCAAGCATCCACTGAGGCTCTTGGATTCTCCTGGTTTAAAAATGACTACTGTATACTCATCTATTCTCTGGAATTCCAATTCCCCCTTTTCTTTTCTTCTTTAGGGTGGTGTGGATTGAACCCTGGGCCTGTGTGTGATAAGCATGCACTTCACTTTAACACTGAGCTACACTCCCTGCTTGCTTGTCCCTTTTCTGATGAGATCAAATTGCCAAATTACTGTGGAGAAGCAAGCAAATAGTCCTCTGATCAAAGGACACTCCTAATGACTTTGGTGGAGTAGATACATACTCTTATTTGTGTAGGGTCTCCTTGGCAGATCCTGGTCCTGGCAGGAAGCCTCCTGGTTATGGGCTATACTGAAAATAGACTAAAGTCCCTTTCTACCATGGAGCCAAACTTTAAAATAACATTTTATTCTGTGCTAAATACAGTTTCTGATCTCTCATGACAATTCCAGTGGTCTATCTATTGGTGGGTCTGCCATGGAATTTGCAGTGAAACATCCCAAAGCTGGGGACTTGAGTGGAATCCTTGCTGGCAAGAGACCATCGCTTCCCTATCTGTGCCATGGCTTCTCAGCCTCTGCCACTATTCCCTGGGCACTCACTCTAGCATGCTCTGTYCATTCCCATCTGCCTTCCATTCCTCTGCCTGGTGGGCCATCTTCCTTGCCCTTTCATTGTCTGTGGAAAGCCTACCCCTTCTTCTAGCACTAGATCAAACATCTATGGCTTCTTCCATAATTCCTAGTTATTTTGTGAAGGAATAATTTGTTACTATATTAATTTGAGTCTTCCCACCTCCTATTGCCCCTTAATCTCAATAAAGACATTGGGCTGGATGAGAGGGTGGTGAAGTGAGCAGAGAGGACTCACGCACAACTCCTGACTTGGGAGAGAGAGGGGTTTGTTGGAGCTTGGAGCAGGACTAGGGGGCTAGGACCCCAAGTGGAATAGCTCCGGACAGCAAGTTGGCAGGGGCTCAGGAAGGGCTGCAAACATCCAGTGGCCGCTCAGGCTCTGGCACAAGGACACCCAAGAAGATGCTAAGTTGAGTACAATGTATTTGAGAATACCACTAAAGGTCACTTAGCTATGCTTAGCAGAGGTGAGGTGAGGGAATCCCGACAATGGCCCCCAGCAAGTTCATACCTAACTCACCAGAAGCTGTGAATAAGTTACAACATAACTTTTTAGTGTACAGCCGTTAAGGTAAATAAATTATCCTGGATTATCCAGGTGGGCCCCATCGAAGCATAAGTTTTCATAAGAACAGTAGAGCACTTTCTCCAGGGAGAAGCAGAAGAGAGAGTCAGAGAAATGAAAGCAACAGAGGGATGCACAGCCTAAGAAAGACTCAATTTATCGTTGATAGAAAGAATAGGACAGCCAGGAGACGCAAAGGCCAGGCACAGCTGACACCCTGCAACACTGGGATCTGCATGTGGACAACCCCGTGATGGGCCTGGAAGCACATTGATCCTCAGAGCCTTCTTGAGTAAGTCTTGTCAGACACACTGAGGACCCAGCTGAGCCCCCATGACCTGCACTTCTGACCTAAGGAACTGTGCGGTAAAAATGGGCACTGTTTTAACCTAAGTTTGTGGAAATCTGACACAGCAATATTCCAAACCACTACAGGAGGTGAGAGGAAAGATGTATTTTCGGTGGGCTCCAAAAATGAGTTGAAGAAAACTGGGAGTGGGCTCAGTGGTAGAATATTTGTCTAGAGTGCCCCAGGACCTGGGTTTCATTCCCATCACTAGTTAAAAACAAACAAACAAACAAAAACAGGAAAGGACCACAAGCAGAAGTTCAAAGATTAAGTAATGTATTTTGAGAGAGACAAACTAGCCGAATGGTACTCAAGTTTTGGAGATAACAGCTTCACACTCAAGGGTCCTGGCACAGGCTCAGCTTAGTATCATCTTCATGTCGTTTTATAATAGGACATCTAGTAATGTTAGGGAAAGAAGACCAGAGTCAGGCCAGTAAGGTTTTCTGTACGTCAGGTTAAGGAGTTCCAACTTCACACTTTTGGTAACAAAACATAAATGTGATTTCTAAGTAGAAAAAATGACATATTTCTGAAGCACAGCTCAAGTTTGCTGGTATAAGTGTTGAATTTGAGAGGAGACAGTGTAGAGAAGATTCCTAGTTAGGGGACAGTGGACTGGTCTCCGTTCCCCTTAGGGCATTCTAGAAAAGAAAAGGCCAGAGTTGTGGAGAACTGCTCCCCTCCTGCCATCGCCACAAGTCCCAGTATTTGCCAGCAGTCTCCATGGCGTTACTTGCTGTGGTCACAACAGCACAATGCCTGTCTACCACCTGCTCCATCCTATATTTTGGCAGCTCTGAGGGTGGTGAGGAGTGGAGAGACAGTTATTTACCATTCAGACCCCACCATGACCTCTCAACTCCTGACTCTGACTGAGCCTCAGAACATGAACACCCACATAGCTGCAAACAGGTCCCGAGCCCAGAGATGTTTGCTTTTCCTAAAAGATGTTGCCTGTGAACTATAGGATGGGGGGTGTCACCGTGGGGATCTTCAGGGACTCAGCAGGCTCTTAGCACAGAAGACAGCCAGGTTGGGGCTTTGGAGATGCAAATGGTCCACATATGTTGGGGAGCAGGCCCTTCAAAAGAGTATTATGGGGAGTAAGGGTCAATGATAAAAAAAGCATATCTTTCTTACTTTTATACAGTGGCAGGAAAATCCTAATGATGTTTCTATATCTCAAAAGTACTGGGAATGTTAGACATCAGTAAGATTTTGAAACTTCTGTATCTKTTCTTTTTTATCATCTTCCTCTGGATTGATGAACAGTAAAACCTTTTCAATGACAAAGTCTGTTTGCTGTTTTCAGGACCAGGAAGCATCATCCAGGAGACTCTCTCATGGTGCCAGGAGATGTGGGAGGAGAAGCCCAAGATAAATTGAGGCTTGGCTAAAACAGGTGAGCAGACGAAAGGAGTGTGTCCTGGGCTGGGACCTGGCAGCAGGACTGATAGGGTCAGCTGTGGAATGCCAGTAGTCATTCACTCTCCTCAAGAAGCAGGTGAACTGAACCTGCTTTGGATATAAGAGGGAGGACACTGGAAAAGGACATGRACATATGAGATGGCCTTTACCCAAGCAAAGGTGAGTTGAATAAAAGATTCTGCAGGAAAGAACCCTKTCTCACTAGTCTTTATCTCCCCCAGCATCTTCCACCTTGCTTTATGCCACAGAGAAGTGAATTGGATGGCGAGGGAATGAATCCTTTGGCTCACACTGGACATCTTGTCCTGGATAAAGGGGTGGGGAAGAAATTCAGCCAGTGAGCTGGATCCTGTTTAATTCATTTTGTTCCATTACTTCAGTTTACTGGAATAAATCTGGGTGACATTCCACCAAATATCTGATTTTGGTTACTGCTTAATGAAAATAAATAAGTTGAGGTCATTTATTAAACAAATTCAATTCGGTCTTATTTAAGTCTCCAACATTTTAAACAGGTCTACTTAAATGGTAAGCTGATATGTTTAAAAATAATATGTACCTGAGGGCGAATCAGACAATAACCCCAAGTGGAAGACTAATGTTTATTT